GTTCGAATCCACACCATGAGACATCGATCCAGTCAGATCGAAGGAATTTTCCTTTGTGTTTGTTCGATCAATAATAATGACAAATTAATGAAGTATTAAGATTAACAGGCACATGGGACTTGTTAACTTATGTCTTAGGGTGACGGGCGTTGTGACTGTGCCCCCAAGATAATTGCGATTTAAAGCTCTGATTAACACTACAACTGTCATGGATAGGAGTGTTGCTTATCACCAGGCCGTCGACTTGTTCGTTCAGTATCATAAAAAAGTATTTTCACAAAAAATATATGAATGTTACGATAGTATAAGAAACATCATGATATTGAATATAACAAATAGTGTATTGGAACAATAATGGCGTAATATCAATGCAAAATAAACTTGACATTCTCTTATCAAAATTCATACTTCCGCCATAAAACTGTTACTCATAACACAATTCAAGGTTTTGATTTACGCCTTTACACATAAACCTATTAGGTATTTTACAAATAGCATTTACTACGCCACCTCGCATGAACGTGGTAAAGTTTTTAGACATTTTTATCAGGTTTTAATATTCCATTATGTTGTAATAAACCTCGAACAATTTTTCGTGCAAATACAAAAATAAATAATCTATTTATATGTTAATGAATTTCTTTTCTTGGAAACGCATAAATTAAAATTACGCACGAATGAAATGATGCATTTTTTTTGTTTTGTCGGGAAGTGGCTAAATTGTAGTAGTCCCATTTAAATTTGAAGAAAATATAAGGTGGAAAATTAGGGGATGGATGAAATCGATTTATCGAATTTCACCCACTTTCCATTAACCGATTTCAATAAAACTTGGCAAATAGATGTATTTCCATAATTTTTTCTGTATTTTTTAAAAATAATTTTCTGTAAACTTGGTGTTTTGATAATATATGTTTATTCGATGGAGTTGCTATTTATCTATCGATGTATGATTGTATAGTACCTGCATTTTACATTATACTACGACATGATAGAATCATGAAAAAACTATTTTAAGAATTGGAGAACACATTCTAGAATTTTCAGATTTAGATTTAGATGTATTTATGTTATTTTTTCTTTATTTTTTTCTTTTTATATTATCGTTGTCTCTATTTTTACGTTGTTTTCGGAAGCTCTGCTGCGCTTACTTATCTTGAATTTATTATACATATGTATATACTTTTGTAATAATTACTATTATATAAGTGTAATAAATGGATCTATAACCTTTCTACACAGCTGGTAGACACACTCGATAATACGTGTCAGCCAACGTTCAAAAAACAAAAGGGTGGCACTGATCATGTTACTGACCCTATATAACTGAAAATCCATTTAACTACATGTTTTCTTTTTGCCGAATAAGGATTCCCAATTGCGAAAAAACTTATCTTATATAGAATTTATTGCACTGAATATAGAAGAAAAGGCATAAAATAGAAATTGTCCTCCTTTGAAACCTTCGTCCACCCCAGATGTTAATTATTCAAGAGACTTGAATATTTATTCTTCCGTTCCTTTTTTTCTCTTTCAAATTCTTTCTTCATTACTTATTTATTTACAATTAATCTTTGTCATTTTATTTCATTGCACCTTTCTTTGGTTTTAAATTGTCAAGAAATATTGTTAAGAATTGTTTAATAAAATTGTTTAACAAAAAACCCAAGCTTCCAAAGAAAGTTATATTTATCAACAAAAAATTTGAGTGCGAAGTTTTGGAATGTTGTTACATTTCAAAAACGTTGTGTCATTGTTATCGTTTGATGATAAATACCGAAAATCCTACACCGTCGTGAAATTAAAAATATATTATTAATACACCGCGTTTTACTCTTGTATTTTTGTTATCATAATAACTGATTATGCGATATTGCGGCTATTATTAGGCTTTACTTTTCATGTTTGATGTTGCTTTGTCAAAATTATTTAATTTAATATGGGTCTTTGTCGGAACGGAAAACAATGTGGTTTAGTGCGCTATGTGGAAGCTTACCCCGGTTTAACCCGTCACGGGTTGCAGAGACACACGGTGTCCCTAACAATTTTGGTAACGTAGCGACCTATGTAGAGCCATACGGTGTATGTAACGCGCAGCTGTGTTTTCATCCTCCATTTTTAAAATTGTTGTAAAAATTATACAAATTTTTCTGCATGTTTCTTTAACAGGCTGACATAGTAAGGATAAAACATAAGAATTCTTTGCCAAATTCATTGATATGGTTACTACAATAAAAACCAATACCTATACAGGAGTTTTGCAGAATCCTAAATAAAAACAGCAAGCTGAGGATCGTGAGATTGAATTCGGGCTTCCACCTCTGATTTTTTCGAAATTAGTTTGCAAAATTTAATTTGAAATATACATAAGCTTTTCTGTGAATAAAAATATCGTGATCAAACCTACGCATATCTGCAAAGCAATACAAAATACCAATCTATTTTTGGGCTCGCGTGGGAACTATAGCCCAAGCTCTGTCAGTACTAGGGCTCTGTAAGTACGAGAGCAGGCCTGTACCCAACAGTGGGAGTATATACAGGCTAACTATTAAGCAGCAGCTAATTATTATGTTCAGCTACGAGCTTTTTATTTAATTAATTCTTTAAAAAAATCTTCCGTAGGGTCAATTATTCTTCTATGATAAGAGTAGTAATAACTAACGGGTGTATAACAAATTGATGATTACGAGTACGAATATTCAACAGACTGAAACAATACCAGATATATGTTCATCTGCTATGTCAATGTGAATCTCTGTCCTAACCAAATCTTTGCCAGACTATGAGGTTAGACAAATTGGCTTCGTTTAACATTTGGATGCGCGGTAACTGGACTCTCGCACACTTATGCTCGCACGTGTCGAGATACCGCGAGATAGCATGACGTCATCTTTGAGAGAAAGTTTACATAGGAATCGAAACTATTCTTTCGGAAGTAAATTGCACACATTTGTGCTTTCAAATAAATCCCTTATAGATGTCATAGTCACGACTGACTGAAATGGTAAAGTCATCAATCGGTTATGTCTAATATTAAGGAAATTCTTATTATTAAAGCCTAAAGTTATTAGTATACAAAACCCTCTACTCACAAACATTTACCATACACACACACACACACACACACACACATACACGCGCACACGCGCGCGCACACACACACACACACACACACACACACACACACACACACACACACACACACACACACACACACACACACACACACACAGTTCACAAACTTTCAAACTGTATTGTTAGTTTAGTTACTTCACATATTTAAATTTGGTTTTCTTTTTCACAATTGTATAACCTTAATCTTAAACTTAATTTTAACCTCTGCAATCATAGTATTAAGAGAAAGTGTAAGTTGTCTATGGTGAGAGACCTGGTATCCTATATTACAAGCTTATGCTTAGTTTAGGTACCAGTCTTTTGCAAACATAATAATAATATAAACACTATTTTTGTCTATCTTTCTTTTGTTCATGTTCAGTTGTTATGTTTGTGGAGAGAAATAAATACATTATAAAAAAATACATTAATTTAAGACACAACAACAAAAACACGCGATCTAGTTCCGTAAAAAAAAAATATTTTTTTGTGATACCATGTGAGGGAATAGCCCGGGATAGCAGTTGCAGTGCCACTCAGAGCTTTAAATGGCAAAGATTTGAGGGGCACTGCGACTGCGCACGTCACCCTAAGACAAGTTGACAATTCACGTGTGTCTGTAATTTCACAACTACCCGCAGTAATGCTCACATTACAGCTAAGGTAAGGTGCAGAAAATCTCTGGACGAATTCTTTCACAAGAAGCTTGACTGCTACTAAAGTACGTTAAGCTACTAGTTTCAATTCTTACGTGCAACAATCGCGAAAACCTATGAATTCGATAGATAATTGACAGTTCAGAGACAATATCTTTTAACTTCAGAGCCTATGAATACGGCGTATTTTATACGCGACTTCACGAACCCGCGTTTGTAGCGTGCAAACGCGCGTTATTTGTACGCATACGTGCGTCATTGCGCGCAGATGACCTGTAGTGAATAGATTCAAACGCGCGTAGACATCGCGTTGAAAGCAAGAAGCTTGTATGCTTAACTGGAGTTTACACTTAGAATTTCATGTAGCTGCTTACGTCATTTCAAAAAACTAACTGAAATTAACAAACAGAACTATAATTGAAACTATCTTTATAAAAGCACGTCTGCGGCGCGTATAAAATATGCCTTGTGTGTTGGCTCAGGGTTATGCTAAGCGTCCTACAATCGTGTTTGATCTTTTGAATTTATTCTTTATGGATTGTTTGAAATTATTCCTCAAACTTTGTTTCTAGGAATTTATATACGTTAAAATAATATTTAACAATAAATTAACAAAGTGTAATAAATCCATGATAAGTTTAGCCAAATACCGGCTAGATAAATGTGTTGGTATGCGATAAGCAATTTACTAAAACGATAATGTTAAGAGATTGTAAATTTTTCAAAGAAATCATATACAATATATTGATGTAATATTCGCAGAAATAATCCACGTATTAGTAGGTAGCCGTGACTTATTTGAATAAGTGAACTGGTAAGGTAGAAAATTATTTTCTACCCTAACCCTTATCCGTATTTTGTATACAGTACCAATAAAGAAAGCGATAAAAGTATGCCAGGATCTTGGGTCCTGAAAATCCCTAGTCTGCGAATATATTAAAATTTGCGGTATTTTATGTGTATTAGATACGAACAGGATGAAGAGCATATCAAGCTTGACATTGAAATTCAACTCTATGCCGCTTACGATAGGAGCGATCCAAAATCCAAAATGTCAAACTTGATGTAGCTCTTTATTGCACATTGAACGTTAACAAGCAAAATGGGAAGAGAGAAATTTAATTAACATGCAGTTCCTTATGCGATATGAAACTATTATAAAAATATCATTGAAGGAAATGAACAAAAGCCAGACATTACATAGTAAAGTAAATGTAGAGTTCTACAGGGAGGACAATTGAGACCACAGCACTGCACTGATATAAACAAAAATAATACTTCTAAAACTAGAGCATCATGTTGCAGGAAACTAAAACAACAATTATAGAATTATTAAGCCTAACTATTTTATGACTTGAATTTAGTTCAAAGATGAGCACGAGTGATATTCTTAGCAGTTAATGTAGAGTTAATTGCTTCAAATGTTTTATGATTAAAGTGATGTCGTCTAGTGGACGGGTTTATTAGGCAGGTCTACTGCACTATACTATGCTATCTCAAACATATCCCACTGCTTATCTTTACGTTTTATCGAAGGCGTTCGGTACAAGAAAGTGTATCTAAGTAACGAAATAAGAATTCGATTTTCATAGGATATTTTTGTTGAATTGATAAAATGGGTACAATATTATGATAACTCAACATATCATTACAGCAGTAATTTTTTTGACAAATTGTATTGTGCGGGTCCACGTTTAAGCCCACCACCCTAGCTCATTGAGATTATTCGTATTGCGTAGATAAAATAAATGGAATTAAACAACTTACAAAATATTCTATTTTGATATGTTTATAAATAACCTTAATCACAGGCTATACGCATATATAATGAAGTAACAGACATTAATACTCTTCTACCCCTAACTGCCGCTAGAACGATTCATGGTCCATACAATAAACACCTGTTCATTCTAGGTATCACGGACAGTCTTTTATACAGAGCATGCATGGAGGGGGAGAAAACCGCCGAACATATCCTACTCCGCAATGCTCCGGCGTGGCCAACTACAGGGTGAAATACCTCGGGGTGCCGAGGTCGCTCCCCGAAGTCCTCGAAAAACACAAAAAGGGTCTAAGCCCTGCACCCACCACACGCAAAATAGGCGTGTGGACGTCGAGTTGCGGACAATAGCCAGTTATACCATTAATACTGATCACAAATCCCTAAAAGTTATTGGAGTTTGTGACAGATAGAGCACAGTCAATGTATTATCATCCATCCGGTATACATTGGTAAATAGGGATAATAAACATATTATTTTGATTTGACTAGTTTTAAATTATAGTAAAAAGTATATCATTTATGAGAAAATTTTAAATAAAAATATGTATTAATTGCATATTTATTGATAATTTATAGATTGCTTCAACATAGCAGGGTCAATGTATTTGTAAGACGCGATTATATGTGATGAAACAAATAAATACGAAACAAAGGGATGAAATCATGCAAAACTTATGATCACATATAAAAATTAAGAAAACGTATTATCGGAACTAAATATTTTTATTAAAATTACGTATTTTTCCTTGTAGAAATGTCACTATATTAATCGTTATATAAGTAATTTATAATGAATTCAGTGAGCTATTATAATATTTTATACTTTTATGTTAAATATTTTGTTTCAGCGCTAATGACATTATATTATTATAACTATATAACAATTGAAGTAATAATTAAACAAGACGAAGGGTATGAAATTAATTTTTTCAGTATTTCGCAAAAAGAAATTTAAACAGTGAAATCTAATCTAATTACTAACTAACAAAAAATAACTTTTATCTACAATTTAAACTCTGTACATTGTAGATAAAAGTTATTTTTCGTTAGTACAACATCTAGGTTTTAAATCATACTGCCAGTCTAGTTATCAGTAACATAAAAATAAATGAAATGAAAACTTCCATTTATAAACCTAGTCACAGACAAAAAAGTATTTACCATCTTTCGCCACTTGTCAAATAACTCAATAAAAAAAACACACGTCCGTATCACCGCGTATCCTGGCTAATTTGTGTGTCCTACATACAGTTGATCCTTACTATCACACATGGTAGCATAATACAGCGTTAATACTGGCCACTAACATTCATTTATCAGCAAATATGGCGGTGACAAGGGGCAGAGTTGCGGGACGCGACGTTTCTTTACACAAATTTACATTTTGCTGTCTAAACAACGAGTACAGTACAGTACACTAATGCAGATAACCTGTAAATCTAAGTTTGTGTATTTTAAAGCGACAAATTTATTTTTGCAGTTATTTATATAAATACTACTTCGCAGTGTTTCAAGAAATGTCACGTTAGCTGCAAATGACATTTCAATTTTTAAAAAACGAACAAATATAGTTCCTTTTTTGCCGCATTCATTTATGAAATGTTATCAGAGAAATGTTTTGTTTCGTTCTTTGATGAAGTGATAAAAAGAGATGGAGTATTAATCCTTATCGTCAATGAAACAAGTAGTTTATTCGTACGCAATATTAGTGATATGATAAGAAATGTGACTACAATCCGTGACAAATCCGTGATTTCTTGTGTTGTTTTCAACTAAACCAAAGAAAAGAAAAAAATAAAGAAAAAATAGTAAAACCAGTAAGTTGATGAAAGATCACACAACTTTTCGTAAACACGTGAATACAACCTGAGCATGAAGAAGTAACATTTTATAGAAAAAAACACTTGACGCGGTCGGTCGGTGACAACTAGCACTGTAAACGTGTCTGTAGATGTGTCACGGTAGCCTTATTGTATGCCAAAATAAAACTCAACATCAAAATTACTCCTAAGTTATGAAAGGCAATAATAAAAGGACTATATAAATTAATAATAACAACAAACATGTGAAGTGGATCTATGGCTGCTCACCTACTAATAAAGCTAATCAACAATCATCAATACTATCTTGAAATTTAAATTAATTCCCTGAGGAAGATTTCTCAGTTCTTGAGACCCGTGAAATGTAGGGTTTACAAGCTTGACTGCGATTGCAATCTCTCTTACATTGGACAAAAGAAGCGAAGCATTTGTACCCGCGTCAAAGAACATATAGCTGATGTCAAACAACGCCGCATAATTAAGTCTGAAGTCTGCCAGCATGACATGGATAAACTTTGACGCTTAATTAAGTTGGACAAACTCCACTCTAGGTCCTTGCAAAAGAGTACGTTATCTACCCTGGATGCTGCGAGTGTCCATCGAAATTTAAACAAACATTCTTATAATTATTAAACAAATATCGAACACTTAGGAAAAATTCACTTCGATCCGTTTGGATTCCAACCAACGTCTTCCAGCAAACCACGGCAGATGCTATGCCAACTAAGCCACGGAACGAATCAACAGACTTCACGATTTTTTCCGTTTGTTTGTTGAAGTACTTTGCTTTGGTTTTTAACAACTTTTTTAAAGTAGCGCTATCTATGAGAAATCTATGAAAGTTTTTCTTTACTCAGAGAGGTACTAATAATTATATATAGTTAATAATTATAACAAACTGTTGAGTTTGGAACATCCTGACATTCAAAAAAACTTAATAACATTCTTATAATATATATCCAATATTTCCTTTGATAAACAATCCCAAGCAGATATAAGACTGCAATACTAATTAGTATGTTTTAATTGATTCTTATTATCATTATTACTTACTATTAAAATTAATATTTATTAATAAAAAAATATACAAACCTATATTGTTAAAATAAAATAATTTTGTAAAACTCATGTAGCGTAAAATGGACTATTTTTTGAAAATTTTAAAATTAAGGTATTTGAGTAACAACTTCTGTAACACCAGTGAAAAATAGAGTGGTTTGCATTAATATTAGACATAACTAGTTGATTTTTTTTATTTTGCCCGGTGTCCGCCAGGGAGCGATATTGAGACCTTTGTTGGCATTCTTTTTAAAATTATTTTTGCAATTCATGTTTGTCATTTTACTATTTGTAACAAACAAGTTGTTTAAACTAATATTTTTTATTATTGGATCAAAGATACTGTCTCATACGTACCAAATTCAAAAGACGTTCTTTCATATTGACTTTTTCCCTCCTTTCATTACACTCACACGTTCGAAGTCCTCAAGATGTAAAAGTACACTGACTGACATCATTACTGACCTACGGTCCACTGAATTTCTATACACCGACCGGTATTTGACATAATAGCACAGTAAAAAATAGACCGTACAGAGCTATTGCAAACCATTGTGCAAAAAAAAACAAAAAGTCACGCACATTGATAAAACACGTAGTGGAATTTCATAATCTCGAAGTCCCGAGAACTTTCTACAAAATGTATGGAAATAATAAGACTTCGCTACTGCAAGTATACCGAGAACATGTTTTGGTACTATAACCACTAAAGTCTCTAGCGTTTCTTAGAAAATGTATGACAATTATGAGACTTCGTGGCTTTTAATTAGAGGACCATTGTTGGGAACCATTATAACGTGTAAGTGATCATTGAGAAATAATATCTAGTGTCATTAATGAATGAATTACATTTGAAGTGATATTTTTCTTTGTTTGGCGTAATTTTCAAGTACAACGATAAAGTACAGTATTGAAATCAAATTTTAAGAAAACGTTCAAAGTAAGGTGACATTAGTAATTATTGAAAACCAAGTTCAATTTATTGAGAGGTGGTATTAACATTTACTCTAGGGCATATTAATATACAGCTATCAAATACTGCCATAATTTGTAGCATCAATATGACTCAACCAAAACAACTCAATGAGAATTAGCTCGACACAATTTACAAAAGAATGTATGGTTAGGGTAATTTTCAGGATACTTTTAGGACTGTGTCCCATTTAAATTTTAAGAATATATTCCACCTTTAAAATAGGCGCCTTGACGTCGAGTTGCGGTCACCAGCCCGTTACACCAAGTACTAAGTTCCACCTCTAAGGGCGGCAAACTAGAAGATGAATCCGGTTGCGCACACTTGCCCTTAACCGATTTCTGTAAAACTTGGCAAATAAATGTAATTTCAATAAAAAAAGTCAATAAGCAAACATTTGAGGTTAGTTTTTTAAATAAAAAAGTTATAATTAAAGGACGGCCCCCTACTAGATGGACGGATGACCTGGTAAAGACAGCGGGTGCACGTTGCGTCCATCCAGCTGATCTGGAAATCTTTGGGGGGCCTATGTTTAGCAGTGGACAACTTCCGGCTGATATGATGAATTGCGGTGGCAGTTTTTATTTTTTAAGTATTCGAGTATTGTAGTGTATCACGGCAGTCGCTACAAATTTCTTTTGTATATTTATTTTATACAGTCTTTTTAAGTTTTATTTTATATTTAAATTCTAAATTTAAATGTGATTATTTTTGGCGCCTTTTCTTTACTATTGTTTCTGTTTTGATTTATAGCGGTGCGTTGTTTTGTAATAAACTGTAAGTCTTGCCCACTTTAATAGCATCCACTTGAATCCATTGATACAGTCCGCCACAAGTATATTATCGTGAAATATTAAATAATATTTCAAGATACTGCTCTCGAATATTAAGAAATACGTCATGATGACATTCTCGAACGTTTAAATAACAAACATTGCCACCGAAATTAGGTAGAGAAAATTAATCTGAAAATCACAAAACAATGTACGGTTACTATTCGTTGCTCTTTTCTTCATTATTTGTCTACGGAATGGTCGACCTTCACACCTTGGAGATAAGACGTAAAGTTCAAACCGTATTCCAATACGTACGTTACGTTTCTCCTGCGGGGCAAAGGGCAAACAACCCAGGAACACTGAACAACGTCGATGGGTCATGCCGAACAAGTATGTCAGTACGGGCAGACGCCGATATTAGCTTGTTTACGCTCAATGTAACAACGTTGCTAAATTTCTAGTTGTTGCGGTCCAGGGTACTTTTTTGTTGCATTATTTTTATTAATTAATTTTTATTTTTATTTTTTTTTAGTCAACCGTGACCATGGAACCTGTAAAGTGCTCGAAACGTCGGTTTGTTTGAAAAAACAAATATACGCGATTTAAATCCGGAAAAATAGTTTTATTTCCTATGTGTAACAATCGCGAAAACCTAAGAAATCGATATATCGTTTTTTTAATTTTGTTTTCCTTGTTTGTTTTATAATTTTATTTTTGTATCTGTGTTGTGGAGTTGCAATAAATGTCTATTCAATTATATTTTGTTCTAATGATAAAGAAATATGATCTTTCTGAATTAGTTCCTAAATTAGCAATAATATTTAGTATATAACTTCAATGTATTATTAAGGCTTTGGTTTATTGTATAAAGCAATTTAATATTTAAAACAATTAAAATATTTTTGTTGTCTATTTTTTTAATTATATTTTTATTATTGCTTGAAACTTTTCTTGTTTCCTATTTTTAAATTTTTAGCTATATTCTAACAGGGTACATGTAT